CTGAATAGTCTTTTATGTGGGGTTTTATTTCAGGGTTCTGTAAGAGTTAAATTTTTTTTTATTATTTTTTTTTTTAAGTTTATAAAGAGAACCTCAGGGATTCCAGAGGGATTTGAGAAGGGCAATTACGAGTCCTAGAAACACCAGTGGAAAGAATACTGATTCTCTGAACAATACAGTTGAAGACAGAAGACACATTAACTGTCTGCTTTTCCCTCCTAATATTCATAAGACAAGAAGGCGTATATAATTTCCAGAGTTTTTAAATAGATTTAGATCACCAGAAAATTGCCCCATCCTACATAGGATGCAAAAATCCAGTGATCCACTACTAAATGAAGCTGTTCCATATAAACTGTGAGCCAACTGACCCTGGAAATTTAGTACCCAAGTTGCGTGACTTGAAAATCTGTTCAAAGTGAGGCATGGCTGCAGGCCTTGACTGTTGTACTTTAGTAGCCATAGTAACATGGTCTCTGGAGACTTAATGCTAGTGAATTTTCCTTTATTTCAAGGAAGAGTAATAAGAGAAATGTGGATTGGAACTTGTTCTCTTTCTTTTTTTTTTTTTCCCTCCTCCTTATTTTTACTATGCCATGACCTTGACCAAAATATCTTTGAAGTCTTTTCTGGCTGATTTTCTGCTATGAGACCAGGAAAAAAAATCAGGATATATAAAGGATCTTGCCAAAGGAAGTCCTATCTTCCTCAAAATATTTGCCTTCATTCCCAAAGAGAACCTCTTGACTAATAATGTTTCAAAAACTTCTTAATGGAAGGAACTGATAACTTTCATCTCACAGCTACCGTGGGCACCAGAATAATATCATACTTTCTTTGAACTGACAGATTAATTGTTTTTTTGTTTCAGTAGCAGGTGCAGCTTTTCGTGACTATATAATTGGATGTACATGTTTTTTCAAAAGAACACAGGCCTCTCTCTGGTGCCAAGCTCTTTCTTTTTTTTTCATTTGGGAAAAAACTCCCACATGATTTCATTTTTTAAGTACAATGTAGAAAACTCATGTAAGTGTTTTTAAAAAGCCAAATACAAACAAACAAATGTTCACAATACATACTTAAGTCTGTCTCACATGTTTCAGCTATTATCCTGGATTAGAAATTCCATCTGTCATTGAATCCATATGGTTTACCAAATGGCAGTTTAAAAGCATGTACTTTTTGCAGATTTGAAGAGAGTTGTTATAAAAGTTTTAAGTTCCGTATATTTTTGTGTGTGTTTTTTTTTTCTCTGTGTGCAAATGACCCTCTGTGCATTTGTGAAAATATGCAATATTCCTAAAAATTTTCAGATGCAAGTGGACTTTACTTATTTAAACATGCTAGTTGTACACAACGCAAATACCATTGATGTTGAGTTGTGGAGTTTGGTTATTTCATCCTCTAAATACAAGAGCCCTGTTTAGGCTTTACATTATTTCTACTGAAAGGATCAAAGAAATGAAGAGAGCTGCCTTTACTTCTCTGTGTTGTCCCCTCAGTGTTTTGGGTAAACACATGTTTACATTAAGGAGTGTGAACCACACATGGGATGACGCTGGTCCACGTTCTCTTCCCCTTTTCCCCTCCCCAGGTTATTAATTACTCAGGCAGATGGCTGCTGTGGTTCTGACACAGCACACCACTGAAGCCCCCCGTTCACTGGGAATGAGAGAAAGCTATTGCTGAGAATTTTATTTCAATAATTGAAAAGGTTCAAAAATTTTAAGTGGAGCTATATACTTTTTTGTCCTGTTTAATGTGATACCTGGTAATTTAGAACAAAAAAAAGTGAAATATTTTTGCTAATTCTCATGGAATGAAGTTGTCTCTCTTTTCCATTCAGTCTAACAAATCACTAGGCTTCTGGACAGCTAGATGGAAAAATCTCAATGCAGTTTTACTGGAAAGAACTTCAGTATGGAGTTGGTATTTGGTACATGAGAGATTCATCCGAGAGGGTGGAACAGACGTTTTCCTGCTAATTTGCAATCACACCCACTCAGGGGTACCAGACCTGTGCTGGCAAACACGTTCCTCCTTACCCCCACCTGTGGCAAGTAGATAAGAAAAATATAAATCCCAACCCACTCTATTCAGAGTCCTCTATGCTGCAGGTGTCTGTTTTCACACTGGACTACAGTTTGGGGTAATACTGAGAAAACAGGAGAATTTGCAGCCATGGGTGAGACTCACTAGTTATGAAATTTTACTTTATGACCAGCTTGTCTCTTTTTAATGGGGCTGAAGCAGCAGGTTTCCCAACTAAAATGAGGTTAAAAACTTGAAATTTGTGTTAATCCTCAGTAGACTCATGCGGCTCCATAAAAGTTGTTTTTGCACCAAAGTGGGTATTGCTTTTCCTACTTGCAGGGCAGAGCATCAGATGTCTGCATTTGGGGCCATGAAAACCAGGCAATGCTTAGTTAAGAGATCTAAACTCAGCAGAGGACACCAGAATTTTGAGAACAAACCAAAAACAAAGCAGGGGAAGTTTGTAACTCTCTTCATTTACATACATCCCTCAAATCCATACTTGTTTCTGGTTTAACCTCAACACATTGCTCCTTGAGCTTTTCCTCCACTTCTTTCCTCTCGTTTCTCCCACCCCTTCTTTAATACCTCCTCCAGCCTCACAGATCTAATTACCAGCGTACTGATCTGAACCCTTAGAAGTCCACATGGTCCCATTTCCCTTTCCAGTTTTTACAAACTGCTGCACCTAGTCCAACCTGACTCTGGCTCTGTGAAAGAAAAATTTGTGAAAAGAAAAACCTTACTGTCTTCTGCTGTGGGGGAGTCTTATGTTTTAAAGGTAGATACTGATGTCTTAGGGTAGATGTATAGGGTTAAAGAGTATGTACCAATATGCTGAAGAAGATTAATTTTTGAATAGGGGAGTTTATTTCTTGATTCATACAAGCAACCTTTGACAAAGGCAGATGTTCCAGGCCTATTTCCTACACGGGCTGAAACCTGTGAGATTCTTCGAGCATATTCAGATCTTGTGGCCATTGTTTAGGCCTTTCCAGATAGGGCTTGGTGCATTAGTTTGCATAGCTTAAGAAAGTCTTTTTAATGAAGAACATTTCTTTAATTTCTTTGATGTTCCTAATTTCTACCTGCCCCTGCTTCACGGTCAGGACTGGAGGAATATGCATGGTAACAACCACAGACATAAAGGAACTCCCTTAAAAGTCCTATGGTTATCTTTGTGGAAATTTTTAGTCTATCTAAATTAAAAGGCCTGCCAGATGTTCAAAATGTAATAAAATTCCTAGTATCACATTACCGATGGTTTCATTGCTGAGAAGATGAGTCCAGAGAGACAAGATGCCAGAAATGGTTTCTTGTCTCCATTTCACATTGGAAATGTATATGACAGATAGCATCTATAGAGGTTCCTCTCAGTGCAGTGAAAGGCACAGATGTGAAGATGCAGAAATCTTGACACATCGTCTTCTGGTTGGTGAGGTGCTGGGACAAATTTGGGCCTTATTTAGGGCAGAAAATAGCACCAGCAGAGCAACTGCTTGTACCTGAGGAGTTGACTAGGATAACTAGTATTTAACACAAGCCCATCTAGGCAGAGGTAACACTTATTTTGGAAAAGATCTGTACCTATGGAGCTGACATGGAACAAAGCAAGATTTGCCCTTGACTAGTCTTAGCAATGACTTATGGTTAGCATTGACTTGATTGAATCACTTGCTGCTACAGCTCTTTCCAAATGTAGGTGAGCCATGGCAGGCTCTCCACTACATTTCTTCAGTCATCATTTCACAGGTTTTTTAAGGTACAGAGCTGCTGGCCAAGTGTGGTCCCATAGGGCCACATTTCCAAAGGTGCTCCACAATTATGGTTGGGGCCAAACCTTCTGAGGAGGTCAGCCTATTGTGCAGTGAACTCTTGAAAATCTGCCCACCATTGTCACAGTGGGAACAGCCTTTAAGCAGTCTTGGAAATCTGGTCCTTATTTGGGAACAGAAAAGAGAACCAAACTCACAAAAATATGTCAGTGTATCTGGTTACTGAACAATTGAAAATCTGTCCTCCTTGTGCTTCAGGATTAACTCTGGATTAATAGGCACATCAGTAAATTGAGAGTGAGTTGAAGTAGGGATAATAATAATTTAGCAGTATTTCATCAACAGCTATTTGAACTGTTATGTCCAAAGACCACAAAAACATCACATGAGAGGATCTAAACTACCTTGTAATGCAACCTGTTGGAGTAAAGACATGTTACTAAATCTTTATCAAGGGAAGAGAGGCAAAATTCTCAGTTTGCATGCAGCATAATCTTAATGTTTATATCATGTATTTAATTTATACCTTACTTTTATTTTTGGATTTCTCTGCTTGCTTTCCTTGCATCAAGTCTATAAGAATTAATTTAACTCTTTTCTAGATTAAATATTATTCCAGAAAAGAAGTATTTATAGCTTACTTTTTATATTCATTTCATTTATGCAATTATTCTATGTATGTATTCTTTTATTAGAGCTTAAGAAAATAGTCATACTTTAAAATACAGATCCAATTTTAGAGTCATAGCTATAGCAGCACATGTATTTAATTTTTATGTTGGAGATTATTATATTATCTCTATTTATCAATGCCTATATATTTAAAGCAATTACTATGGAATACAAAGGTTTAAATTAAAAGAAAAAACAAAGTAGTTGACTCATTATTAAACTTTTAATTTGACGAATAATGACAAAATATAATTATGCAGATAATTTAACAGACAATAAACTAGTAATGCAATATGGTAGTTATACTGTAATTAACTATATTTTTTTTCAAGAAAAAAAGAAAGCATGTTCCAGGTTGTCATTAATTTTTCATGGTAGGAAAAAAAGACCTTTATGGTGTCAAAATTTTTGCATAGTGATTTTTTCATATCTAGAATATTCTTAAAATCATTACATTTATACCAGTTTTATTCTTAATTATCTGCTTATCTTTTTAATTATTTAATTTTCCTTTTTCAGTCACTGAATGGTTTTGCATTGGTGGTGAGTGCAGATGGAATGATATTTTATGCATCATCTACAATTGTGGACTATCTAGGGTTTCATCAGGTAAATATATTGACAAACTTTAGAATACTTAGTCACTGTCACTGTATTGACTTTCTTGTTGCCCCTTCTGCTGTCTGGCTTTCTAAAATGCAGCACTGTAGGTTGCTACCTTATCCATCTTATCCTTCTACTGCTGGTTAGACATACCCTGTTACTGAAACAAAGTTATTTTACTATGCCATTTCAATTTTTTTTTTTTTTTTTTTTTTTTTTTTTTTTTTTTTTTTTTTTNGTGAAGAGTTATTTCTTGTAATGCTGTTGCTTTTGCAAAGCTTTTGTTAACAGAAACCTGATCTGTTATAAAAGGAAGTTTTAGGTAGAAGTTTCCTTTCAATTTTAGTATAAGATGCTGTTTTTCTGGGCTGGTTGTCTGTTATTAATAAATATATTGTAAAGTCACAGAATAACAGAACCATGTAGTTGGAAAGGATCTTTGGAGGTCATCTAATCCAACCTCCTGCTGAAAGCACATCCAGCTAGAGCAGGTTGATCCGGGACTCATCTAATCAAGCTTTGCGTTTCTGTGACCCCCCTGGAAGATGTGTTCCAGTGTTTACCCATGCTGACTGTAATTCTTAAGTCTCGTGTTCCATGTTGCAACCTGTGTCTGTTGCTTCTTATCCTCCCACTTTTTTCTTATGAAAATAGTCAAGCTTGGTCTTCACCTGCTAATTTGGTTGATGTAGACAGCAGTAAGTTCTTCCCGAGGTTTTCCCTTCAGAAGGCTGAACAAACCCTGTTCTTCTCTACTGATATGTCATGTGTTCCAGCCCTCTTAAGTGTCTTGGTAGCACTCTCCTGGGCTCATTTCAATATGCTAATATCTTTCTTTTCCCGGGTTACCCAAAATTAAGAGAGAACTCTGCCTTTGTTGAACTTCCTGAGGTTCCTGTCAGCCCATTTTCACAGTTCATCAAGGAGCTGTTCTGCTCTCCCCAGCTGGAATCCTCTGCAAACCTGCTGAGAGTGCACTCTATCACATGATTCCTTAGTCAAGAAATTAAATAGGGTTTGTTCCAGCATTAATCCCCGGAGATGCTACTAGTCATCAGTTGCCAATTAGATGTTTTTATGACTCACATTTGCATATGTAACAAATGAATTAAGAACAGAAAGAATCACCTCAGGATGTGAAGGGAAAAAGCACATGTTAAAAAATAGGGGCTTCTGAAATAACTTTCCTCACACAATCTGCTTTGGAAGTATCCTACACAGCCCTAATTTTAAATAGAGTATCAATCTAAAGATAAGCATCTGCTCCCCTACGCTTACTAATTAAACATTCTTTGTTGCATTGTTTCAGACTGATGTAATGCACCAAAACATATATGATTACATTCATGTGGATGATCGCCAGGATTTCTGTAGACAACTGCACTGGGCCATGAACCCTCCCCAGATGTTGTCTGGACAGCAATCACAGACAGAAACAGGTGGGATTGTCTATGCTGGTTGGAAACACAGGCATTACTGTACAGAGAGAGAAGTGCATTCCACCTATGCCCATATCTGTGCCATGTCAAGTCAGATTCTTCACTGGAAATCTACACAGGGGCATTTATTTGTGTCGTTGTCTCATAGATGACATTGCTTCCCGATCCTTTGCATTTATAAGATTGTGTGCCACTGAGGCCATAAAGTTGTTTTCTTTATGTTTTTCTGACTAATTACACATATTCTTCACATGCAGAATGAACAGCATCAGTCTTCATCCTACCAATCTGTTGTTGACACTGATCAGGACATGAGTATTCCTCTCATTAATGCAAAAAAATCCCATGCAAAATGTTTATGTACAGAACCACAGTGGCAGCATCACTTTCTGCCGTTTGTTTTCCCATGCAAAATTACGTACACAGGTGAGGAGATACTTGCAAGAAGTCCTTCAGCAACCCTTATGAAGTCCTCAGAAACACAGTCCTGAAACCTGCATTTCTTGTAAAACAGTTTCTATGTTATACAAGAGACTTACAGATGCCTGAGGAACTTGGCAAGATTTTGTAGGAAGTACGCAGAAAACATGCAAACAACATGCACTAATATTTCAAACTACAAGATTTACAAATATTTGGAATTTTTGTACTAATCTATATCATGGAGAATTTCAGTTCTTCAGTTTATATTTTATTATAAACACTTGTGTCTTTTGAGAAGTATTTCAAAAGCTGTGCTCTTATAGTTCAAAACTGGAAAATGCTTCATTAAAAATCAAGGAAGCAATAGCTGAACTTTAACTAATCAGCCACTGTCCATTTTTTTGTTTTGTTTTTTCTTGCATTAACATTTTTCCTTATTTTGTCCCTTTTTCTAATGCATTTTCTCTGATCTCTGATCTCAAAACCATCAGCATCTGCTACCCCACTTTGCATCATTAAAAATTACAGAAACTCAGGAAATAAAGTCAAAGTTTCTGGAGAAATTCACCTGAATCCCGCTGTAGAGCTTTTATTTTATTTTTGGTAGGACTTGTGCAGATGTATCTATACATGATACAATTTAATATTCACCCATCCATAAAACAATTTTTAGCAATTTCTGTAACAGCCTCTTCAATAGGCTACAGAACATTTTCATTATTTCTTAGTGTGTTCTGATATATGTTGCCTTCACTGTTGGTCCTAGGAGAAGAATATATTCTCAGTAAATTGTTTAAAGCACAAGAGAATGACAGCATGACAACAGATTATTCTTCCTTCTTAACTCGCTGTTTCATCTGTCGAGTTCGCTGCTTGTTGGACAGTACTTCTGGCTTCCTTGTAAGTATAATTTCACTTAGATGACTGTAGTCATGACATACAAGATTTTAATGACTTTATATGAAAAATTCTTCAACATAAATATAGAACACAAATATTGTAGGGGGTCATGGACAGAATATGTTTTTTGCTGTGCACTAACAAGAAACACCTAAAGATAATTATTAATATGTGTAAAGAAGATAGAATGGAAAAAAAGGTTGTAATATTTGAAATTGAAAAAATCTAGAAACTTTTATGTTTTAAGTTCTTTTGCACAGTATCTGTCTTCAATTTTTGCTGGGCATAGCACAGGGGTGGCAAGCCTGAATTTCAACTATTAACATTAAAGCCCAAAATATTTGCTTTAAGGAACAGGAATAATAATGATTTGTTTTCCCCTTTCTTAAAGAGTCCTTTAAAAATAAACTCCAGAATTAGAAAGTCTCTCTCATGCTCCTTTCAAGAAATCACTTCTCCGTTTAGTAAAAACCAAAGCTGTTTCTACTTAAGGGAAACTACGGCATGTGCAAAGAAAATGAGAGGATCACCATGAGACAGGGAAGTACAACTTCTCTCTCAGATGCTCATTTGCTTGGAGACTGTGGGTCTTAACAGCCAGGCCAGTTATTCATTTCTACATCCCTGTTTTAATTTTGCAGCTCTGGAAAATGCCTAAGTCAAACGGGCAGATTTTTCTCTGGTCATTTTTTGGTAGGTAATTTTTTCACTGAGGGGCAGTAGCTTGCTATTGACTTGATCTCTGCCTTCTGACTATAAAGATATTTGAGGCAGGGATGGTGGTTCCTTTCAAGCTGTGTACTATGTATCTGGCTGTCTTGAGCCTACTTTTCCCTTGGCATCTGCCTGCACAGTCCTTGGGTTGTGCCAGTCCGCGTGCTTCCCAGAGAAAGTAACGGGCAAGAGGAAAGAAACTAAGAAACCATCTCCCTGGAGAGAACAGAGTATGAAAAAATAATGGTTCCAGCCTCAGTGAGGTACAGAGGAAATAGCTGTTTACAGCACTATACACTGTCTGTCTTGGCAAACAGAAGGTAACACAGAACTTCTACTTTGAGTGCACAAGAGAGAAGAAAAATCAACCAGCTTCAAATAAATGTCTTGTTTTACTGTTGATAGAATCTCCACTCACCATGCCTCTGAAGTGGCATGAAGGTTATGAAATTCCTAGTTCTAATCTCTGATTCAAAACTCCTTTTGGTGTTAAATAACATGGTCTATAGGTTGTATTAGCATTTTAAGTGTTTCTACACTTAATGATTAACTTCTTTTTTTTTTTTTTTTTTTTTTTTTTTTTTTTTTTTTTTTTTTTTTTTTTTTTTTTTTTTTTTTTTTTTTTTTTTTTTTTTTTTTTTTTTTTTTTTTTTTTTTTTTTAATATCAGACAATGCAATTCCAAGGCAAACTAAAGTTTCTCTTTGGACAAAGGAAGAAGTCCTCATCAGGAACAGTACTGCCACCTCAGCTGTCCTTATTCTGCATAGTGGTACCGCTTCTGCTCCCTTCTGTGACGGAGATGAAGATGAAAAGCCTGCTTGTGAAAGCAAAACACAAAGCTGATGATTCAACAGCAGCAAACACAAAGTATTTACTAATTAATCTTTTGGTGTTTATGGGCTTCACGTTTATTAAGCATGTAAAAAGCACAAATTGCGTTAAATAACTCGCAAACTCTTTCATAGAAAAGTGAATAATTTATCTGGATTTAACTATTTAATATAAAATAAAGATAATACAGTTACTATAATATAATATGATACAATATAATGCAAGAAAACACAATATACTGTAGTTTATATATAATACATGTTAAGTATTTTATTAATATATATGAAGTTTTATATTAAAAAATGAAACATTAGGATATCTTCCTAACCTTCAGAAGTTACCAATGCAGCAAAGTCATTCTACTAGCTGTAAAAATGGAAAAGAAAAAGTATTTCTATTGGGAGTTTTCAAATTTAAGTATCTTCTGGTAACACAATTATTTGGACTTGAGTATTTTGTTAACAAACAAAGGAAAAGGAAAACTTCAGGAAGCTGAATGTGTGTGTGTAGGGGTGTTCACACACAGTGTAATGAGTTGTACGTGGTGTATACATTTATCTTTCAATAGAAGTTTTATGAACATGAGAGTTTACAATTGCACTAAATGGCTTGGGGGTGATAATTTGGTAGCCATCACGAAAGATTGGTACAGACTGCGTGCAGGCTCGTTTCCTTCCTAACATTCAGTTTTGTTACTCTTCTATGATTGAATTTTAGTTGATATTTGGAGCTTGGATTATGTTTTCCCTTATTTGGTTAAATATAACCTTATTGTAATGAGGTTGATTACTGTGAAGCAAAATGCTCGTCAGTATGACCGACAGTATCATAATTTGGCTTTTACTTAGATTATGTTTGTGTATGTGTGGATTCACTATCCAGATGTATAATGTGATTCTAGAATATACATGCTTTTGACAAGAACTAAATTGCTGGAAGGCTCGTATAATGGAATATGCAGGCTTTTAGAGTAGAGCTGCAAAATCATTTCCACTTGCTAGTGTTTTAAGAGGCTCAGGTGAAATTAACTGACGATCAGAATTCAGCTTCTAGAAGAGAAGTGCTTTACTTAAGTTTTGCTATCTGACTGGACAGTGGCCAAGGATTTGACCAGAATGAAGCAGTCATTTATCTTCAGTGTTTCCTTTGGTTCAGGCCTGAAGCATGGTAGCCAAGGAGGTGGGCAAATTTTTGTAGTTGTCGTCCTTTTTTTTTTTTTTTTCTGATGGTCTTAACAGAGGGAAACATTTTTAAAGCAGTGTTACAGACATTACACCCTTTTCAAACCCTGATAAGCATTTTCAGATAAAGATTGGAAGAAATCTATTCAAATCATTATGGTGATTATTGCAAATTGAAGTCTTACTCTCAAATGTATCGCTAGTCGCTGTGATGTATGTACCTCAAATGTACTTTGAATAGGCAGAGGAGAATATACACAGCAGTTGTTTCAATTCAAGCTGAAATTTATTGTTCCAGATATAGTAAGTCACAAGTAGAAAATTCCTAAACATAGCTATTCCTCTTAATTGAATACAGAAATCCAGTCACACACTAGTTTGAGCAATCGAATGATGCAGGAAACAGATAATTACTTAGTTAGTTAGTTACTTAAGCCATAAGTCTTTGCTAATGGTCAACAGCTTGAAGATCATATCTTTTACAGTCTGTGATTCTACTTTGTTGTCATTCACTGACAAGGAATTTTCCGCATTTTCTGTCCTCTACAGCTCCAGTTCAAAAGGCAGTTCAGGGCTGTGTGAAGCAACAGAATTATATGGAAGAAACAGTCACCATGAAGGTGCCGCTTTCACTAATGCATTACAGATTGCTGAAAACCAAATCAAAGGTGTGTCTGCTAAGTACTTCTGGATTACATACAGTTTATGAAAAAAGAGCCTTGTCTTATATCCTCTTGCTAGGATTTCCAGGTTTTGGTCCCAATGCTCCCTTTTTGCTTCTCTCTAACACCTCTTCTTTACAAAAAACAAAACAAAAACAAAAAACCTGCAAAAAAAATTGTTCACCTCAAAAGATAATGCTTGAATCAGGCTGTGATTTCAGAGTGGGCAGAAAGTTTACAGAGAAATAAACAATCATAGTTAAGAAGAATACTCAATGTATGCTTTTCTGAGAGTGGCAGCACTGAATTTAATAAGATTATGTGAAAACCATAATACTTAATAACAATATCTATCCCTCTGAGGTAAACTGGATATGATATGTTACAAATGCTAGTTTTCCCCAAAGATTAGAAAACAGAGGAAAATTAGAATGCATTGTCTTTAAAACTCACGATTTGCTTGCAGCTTTGACTCATGCTTTTCTAATGCCTGGCTGTGTAAAAATTAAAGTCTATGCTGTATTTCAGATTTTACAACAGCTAAAATTTTGATGGTGATTCTACCTCACTGGGCAGCTTCTTCTTGAGCAGAATTGTACTCATCTTTCTATCATATCTGCTGGAAATCTTTAATGGCTTTAAAACCAATTCTCTCTAACAGCCCCATTTTTCTTGAATTTTCCTGTTCATATAGTACTACTACTACTACTACTACTGAAAGGGGAAAATTATAAGGAATGAGTAATACTGAGAAAAATCCCTGGTTACAGTTTAAGTGCCTCATTAGGCTTTTCACATTTTAGTTTTAAAATGTAATCTTCCTCAGTTTGTAACTCTCCTATGCTGATGATTCTAGGGCAGCAAACAAACCTGTGAACATTCACCTATAGTTTAGGTAAGAAAAAATACTAAATACTGTTTGCATTAAAATAGATTTTCTTTTAAATTGTATAGCAAAGAATAACGGAGAAAATGGCATTTCTCTAGTCAAAGTACAAACAAATGAAGATCACTGGGTCTGGGTTCAAGCTAACACTCAACTTCTGTATCGAAGTGGTTGTTCAGAATATGTCCTTGCCCAACAGCAAATGTTAAAGTAAGTATATTTTGCAGTACTGAAAAATAAAATTCAGAAAAATGAGTGTATTCTTTATTTATGAAATTTCTATAAGGACTGTAGAGACGTAAGAGAAGAGCTGAATGAGAAGAATTTACTTATTATAAGGAAATACGTTTCTGTCTTGGAACATATGAAATGGCTGTTATAATACTAAACAACATGTATTTTCTGTCTTCAGGGTTTTTTTCTTCTGAAGTAAAGTTTACATACATACTAAGACAGAAACAAAATTCTTGATTATTAATATGTTTTAACTTTCTTGCACTAAAATGTATTTTGTGTTTTTGTTTTGCACCTGAAAATCTAGAGTCCTAGTTTTTATACATATCAACATTAGATTATGTTAAGTTTTTTGGTTTTTTTTTCTTTCTGGATGGCAGTTGAGCTCATGTTTTTAGCTGCGTATATGCAACATAACCTGGAGAAGTGTATTCATATTCATTGTATGTTTGTAGATAGATATATCTAGTTGCCTGTAGGCTCAGTCATGGACTGTAAATTAATCTCACAGATTTGCATTCAAAGAGGATCTCTCAGATGAGTTTACCCTTTCCTCCCAAAGAGGCTTTTCATCTTCCCCATGGGATTCTCTGTTCCAGTTCCTGTGGGTGTTGTTGAGGTATCTCTTCCAGCTGGTCTGAGGGATAAGATAAGAGAGTGGACTGAATGAGGGACTGAGAGTTGTGCATCTGGCCCAGCGTTTAAAATGTGGCTATTCACAGATTTTTTTTCCTTTAGAAGGCATTGCAGATGAAAACAAATAAATGAAAAATAGAGTAGATACTCCTTGCAGGCAGTGTATCTCCCAGGATCCACATGAATAGCAGAGGAGCTCCCATCTGAGGATGGTGGAACATTTCATCAGGGGTTGGACTTGATGATCTCAGAGGTCCTTATCAACCCAGCTGATTCTGTGTTTCTATGATTCTATGATTCATTTTTATTGGGATGGCACAAACATTACCTTGCCATATGAGAGAAAGAACTCAGCAGATTAAAAGGGGTTGTTTCTTGTATTCGTATCTCTACTTCTAAACTGGTTTATTTAGTTACATTTTTGCCCTCTGAGTGGTTAAAATCCTTCCTTTGTGCAATAGACTTTGTACTTGCTACTACTTGTTTGTTTGTTTTTTGGTTTTGTTTGTTTGTTAAAATGTATGCTGTCTTCTTGGAAACATACATTCTTTTGGAGAATTTTCACTAGATAATATTTCACTGTAGAACTCTTCATTTGGGAGTTTAACTTTTTTTGACTACTTCATTTTGTTCAGTCCTTTGCTTCCCAATCTGATCATTTTCTGAGAAGCTAGTTCTGCAGCAAACTTGTATCAGATCATTTGCATCTCAGTACTGTCATTAATAAAAATAACAATATTTAGAAGGGGTCTGAAAATATTTAATACCTCATTAAAAAAAAAAAAAAAAAAGAGAGAGAGAGAAAATGTTCTCCTTTCCTGTTGTACATTTATTAGAACGGGAAGTTCTCTCTTTGTAACAACAGGGACTCCCTCTACTGGAAAATCCTACACTTGCAGATTGATTTGATACCCAAGGAAAAAGTTCTTTTGCGAGCTATGAGAAAGCTTCTAAGCGCCTTATTAGCTCTTCAGGTTTTCACGCTTGGTTTCTTATTGAGATGTCCACTTCCTGTTTGGAGAGGTTTTGTAGCACTGGTTGGGAATAAGCACCTGAGTGAATTCAAGACCTCAGTCTCTAGATTTGGACCCCATGTTCTGAAAACTGCTGCATTAGGCATGGAAATGCTCAGGCAACATCCTCTGCCAGACCTCTTCAACCAGTGTTGAGTACTTCAGCTAGACATCATGGCCATCTTAGAAAACAAAAGACAACATCAATTAAGACATGTAGAACAAACCTCCACCCAATACGAATGTCTGTTACTATTCAGGCATTTAATTCATGCATTTTATTTCCTCTCGGCTAACTCTGCATTCTCAAAATATAAGACTCTCATGGATCAGAAAGTTCTTATGTGTCCAAATAGTTCCTTGTTACCAAAATACATCTCATTTAAGATACTATTTCTATTTTATCTCTAGAATTTTCTACACACAAATATTATTTAGATCCATTTTAAGGGAAGAACAGAAGTGTAAGGTAATTATCATACATCACTACAATATTTAGGGTCTTTGTGAGCTGTGTGTCTGAAATGGAAGGAAGAATGTGTGAATTCAAGAATTTAAGAGAACCAGTGCCACAGAAAGGTAGCTGTGCACACACACTGATGCCCAGATTCAGGGACATTCTTTTTTACCCTGGAGCAAATGCACGGTTATATGGACAAGAGTGTGTGAGTCCCATATGGAGGACAAAATATTGCTTGTCACATACATTAAGTCACTCTCTTTGTATCCCAGAACACAATAATTTAGAAAACTCTGACTGACTGGATTTTTTTTTTTCTACTGTTATTGAAAGGGAAGAAGATGAACAACTGAAGATACTAAGCGGTTTTGCCAGTTTGAAAGGAAACCTGGAGGGTCTTTCCCGTAACAGTGCCATTGAAACTCTGGGTCAGTGGAAGCATCTTAACTGGACAGCAGTAAAAAATGAACAAGATAATGTAAAATTGAAGTTTGAGCCTCATACTAACGGTGAGTGTTTCATGCAAGAGGAACCTCTCAGTTCTAACACTTCAGTTTTAGGCATTCAAAACAACTGCACAGCAAACAGCAGCTGGAATTTAAGAAACTCGAGCTCTTGTTCTATGAGCCAGCGAATAAACTCGTGTTCAAACAGGAGAGCTGCATCATTCTACAACAGAGACCAGAATTTCTTAAATTTGACATCAACTTGTCCTTCCCACTGGGGAAGTGTAGAAAACAGCCAGTCTTACTCGGGCGTCCAGCAGCGCTGTGCAGAGACCTATATGACAGACCATCTGAAACTTCAGAGACCATTGATATCTTCAGAGTCTCTCTATGACACCGCCGTTCCCTTGGAGATGCCTATCAAAATGGAATATGATTCTGATTCTGAAAACACTGCTGACAACTACTTGATGTCGCAAAACCGAGCATGGCTGGATGAGAACAGCTCGGTGAGAAAGCAGGTGTGTAGCTACCCCGGTAGAGTGCATCTCAAAATGGAACCGGACCTTTGTGAGCCAGCCTTGCCTTGTCAGAAGCCAAGGCACTGCCTTTACACACCACACAACTGGCAATGCATTGTAGCAAATCATCCAAACAACCTAAACTTGAACAGATCCTGCAAGGGTTCACGTAACAGGGAGGTGGCCCCTTTTTGCCCTCAGAACTCCTCCATGTGTCTGGAAAGCATGCCTGACTTGCCACACACGGCTTGCTACGGCCATTTCTACAGCCCCAGCCCAGGGGAGGAGAAAGAGCAGAATAATGAGGTGTTCAAAATGCCGTGTGAATTTAAAAACCCCTGCTTGGTTCAAGCAATCAAGCGTGAGCCCCTGGATTCTCCACCATTGTCCAACAGCGGACAGAACAGAGTACATGTGAGCTTCCCTGAAAATACATTAGCAGGTCCCGTGCCTCATAAAACCACTGAATGTACATTTTTGCAATAGATTTTATAACATTTGAAATATTTATAATGTTAAAAGCAAGAAGTTGTAGATTCTCTTCCAGTTGGGTTAAATGAGTTACTAAAATTAAAAGCCAATGGAAAGATTTTGAAAGACACAGACACACTCACATCCTACTCCCCCTACCACCCTTCTCTTAGTGATCTTTGGAAAGAGAAAAGAAAGACGACACCTCAGGCACAGAAAAATAATCATTACTCGCTGCACAGGTATACCTGATGATTTGTCTTCATCATCTTTCCTCTCTTGTCTACACTGCATTAGCAAGGTCTAGCAATATCTGTTTCCTGCTTTTGTCCTGTTTGTTTTTCTCAAGCTGATGTGATGCCTCTGTACAAATCAAAGACGTTTATGATCTTCAGTGTGGCCAGTTTAGCTTAAGAGTTTTTGCTTTTTAATTTTTTTTTTCTAGCCTAATAAGAAAGATCAGCTACTCCTTCATCTCAACACTGAATTGATGCCAAGGGCTTCCCAACACAATTTCTTACATTAAAAGAACCGCATTAAAAAAACTGACTTCCATAAAATGCATTAGAAATTATGTCTCTTCAAACTGAAGTTATTATCAAGTTTCCTTGATAATATTAATGTTTTACAATCTATATTTTTCCATTTTATAGTAATCAGCCTTTCATGTTGCTATCTGAAAAACTGAACAATGGGATGTAATCCACTTCTTTAAATGAGTTACAAAATGTCGTTAAATGTACTTGAGAAGAAAGTATTTCTCCAACTGTTTTCCTTGGTTTTACTTGTAACATTGACAAAGGAAATGCACTTTTTTATTTGATAGTATGTATTTGACTGGTAGCAGTTTGTTAGACATCATCATCTGACATCAAAACTGAATCCCATACTAAAATTATTTTCAAAAGCTTCCTAATATCAATCCCAAAAGAAAATCTTAGTCTCACTGAGAGCTGTCTGGTGGATGTGTACCTTTCAAAAGCATTTTGGTGCACTCTAGTGCTTTTGAAAATAGAGTGTATACTTTCCTTTGAACCCATGTAGTAATGTATTTCCACAACAAAAAAAAAATCTACAACTTATATCTTGGGTTTTATTGTTGTTGTAGTTTGACTCCTGCACTAACTTTTGTTTTAAAATTGCACTATTTCAACTTTTTATCAACTTCACCTGTATAAAAACTACATCATTTAAAAAATGCTTAGATGTATATGTGCTTTTTGAAAGAAGCCCTATAATGAATGTTTTCTTTTTCAAAATGTTATAAATAATTATAATGTCTTCATTTCTATATCTATTAGTCACTAAGGGTGTGGTCTGGAGAGTGGCATAAAATTCTCCCAAATGCTATAAGTATGTGGGATAAGTGTAGTCTTCAGGCAGTGCAATGGTTCTGCACCTAGGAGGCTGCTCTTCTCCAAGACTATCTGTTTTTTCTGAGAGAAGATACTGCCTGTACATTAGAGTTGGCAGATGTAAAGATATATATTCTCTGCATGTAAGCTAAGTGCTTATGAACAGTTTGATCAGAAATGCTGCACTTTGCACTGAAGTGGAACTTCCTGATGACTGTCCTGCACAAGGCAGTATTCCTAGCAGAAAGCAAGACTGGACAGTAAAGAGGGGAAACACCTTACTGTAGCTCAAAATCTGCCATAAGCCAGCTGACCATATCCAAAACATGAGAATATTAGCTTTTTTGTGTCTGAGGTAAATCTGTTCCCTGTTGGCTATGAGCTGCCTCTTATTTGAGACAGTCTTGATATCCTTGCCTTAGTACTCCCACCAGTGGGTGCAATCCAACATCAGAACCCATTCCAATGCTGGACAGCAGTGGTGGAATTTACACCACTCTCCAGTACCTCACTGTTCACATCACAGAAGTCCAAGCCAAACTGCAAAAGTACCTGTGGGGGAGAAAACTGGTTATTAATGAAGAGTGAGACTGCCATAAATCAGTGTTGCTGCACAACGTCTGCTTCACTGATTCACTATCTATGTAATTATGAGCAGCTGTTCTTTTAGACTCTCACAGAGTTGCTCTCATAATCCTTTGCTTGGCATGTAGCAGTGGCACTGCTTGTTTCCTGGTGCCAGACACTCTGCTGTGGCCTCATAGCTGCTGGTAGGGTTGTGCCATGAACCGTGTAATATTCCCCAGTCCAGCTCCTTATGCAGCTTCCTGGTAGAAATGAGATAATGGGAAAACAAGATAGTGTGGGAATAGATGACTAGAGGCAAGTTAGTGTGACTGCTGAAAAGCTGCTCATTTAATTCCACACTTGGAATCACTGTCACACCCCCCCAAATGAGACTACCTGGGCTTGGTTTCACACTACCTTGCACCTTCTCTCATCATTTACACTGGTGAAACATGACTTTAGAACATTATTACCTTCATCTGGACATGCTGGCACCATTTTGCATGATGGGAGTGGTTACACCAGGTGCAACTCTGTAGAGGACTGTGCCACTGAATTACTTGTCTGTGCTTAGAAATATTCCCTGGTGTGATGACAGTGGGAGAAATATACCAGCCAGATTTCTCTCTTCAGTGCAGAAGCAATTTATATTAACAACAGACATTCTCTAAAAGTGTCCCCTGTTACAGAATAAACGCTTTTTTGTTGACATAACTCTTTCTACTACAGGGTATTCCTGGCTTATTTCAGTTAGAATTATTTTTCTCATATTTCGAACAAACCTAGATACATTTTACACATCTGGATTGATATTATAGAGATAGATGAAGCTTCTGCATGTAAGGCAATCAAATCTGATACAAGAGATGTAATGGCCCGTTAGGAGGAAGGATGAATGTGTGACTCAAAAGTGAGATGTCACACTGACTCCCTGCTGTGTAAATGCAGCCAGGTTTGTTTCCTCATAATTCCATAAAGTCTGAACCCAAGAAAAACCCACTTATCCTGCACATTGTGTTTGTATTTAGCCCACTTAATTTGTGGCAGAGTTGTTATTTCAGGTCTCACATGAAAAAAATGTGGTATCAGTGGAATTCTTCCTGGTCTAAGTTATCACATGTGCAGTGCTGCAATCTCCCAAGAACTGAGCTCATCAAGAGATCAGCAGTTTATCCACTTTTTGGACACTTGCTAACCACTGTCAATGATTAACAAAGATCAGTTCTTACTAAGTTCTTGGGAAGAACAGAGGAAATTACTACATAAAAAGAATCTCTTGCTATTTGTGTTTAAGGCACAGATGTTATTCCTTCATCCTCTTCCCATGACATCTGTCCTGGATTGAGTCTGGACTGAAATCTCACATGGCATTGTACTCAGTTAAATTGCCACTGATTTAACCTTATAGAACCTTTTTGTATGCAGACATTAATGACCCCCTGACACTGACCAGTAAATAGCATGAAAGACAGAGCAGTTCTTTAAAAGGCTTACATTTTCTTAGTGGTTCTTGTTGCTTTGGTATTAGTTTAAAAACTAGCACTGAGAAGTAGTGTTTCAGATGTTTTCAATCACTTGTATTTAGATTATATCCTTAATGAACTGGTGTTTGTATCCCTCAAGTGCAGCCCTAAAGTCTTTTTCAGGAGCTTCCCAATGCATTTACTGTAGCAACAACAAAAAAAATGTTCTTGTAGAAGAAATGTCTCGTCAAATGATTGCCTAATAGGAACTTGGAGCATTCAGGCTGAAAGAAATGCCTGAATGATAATAGAATTCAAACTTCTTCAGCCATAAGTTCTCAAGAGGTTGAGACAGAATGAATCCTCTGATCTTTGGGGAGGGTATTTTTTGGTGTGGAAGGTGAGCAGTTCGAAAAGCTGTGAGAAGGTGTTTCCCCCTGAGATGTTACTTGGTCCACAGATAGCAGAGACTATTATCAGTGCTACAGCTGCTGATCAAGAGAATGTCACCTGATTTCAGTTGTCAGTTGCTGAGCATTGTAAAAATACCACTGAAAGCCACTATTTTTACTGCAAAACAACATGATTTGACATACGGGTAAATTTGTACACAAAAAAAGAGTAGACTTTCCTGCAGTTACACCACTGACTGAAACTGTGGCAGACCTCCACTGTAGATAACCCAATAAGTAATTTATATTCACTTTAGAGTCTTTGGACACCTAAGTAAAGCTTTGTTTTCAAAAATCTGAGTGAGAGCAACACTGTGCAAGCAGTAAACTTGTTTCAGTTGTCCTCAGTTTGGAGATTTAACTTGGGAAATGAAAGATTACAGGGACTGTACCTAAATTCTCTGTAGGAAAGACTTAACTTCCTACTCCTTGCTTGTAACATGCAAAGTATATCTCTATGATTTAACCACACTTTATTAGAATGCATTCTTAAAATTCTTAGAACTGAGACTGCTCTGGATGGTATAGGGAAGTCTGAGATTTGAGCATTAGCAAGTTCAGTTAGACTTTAGGTGCTCATCCTTTGATATGGTATTGAGATTGACAGGGCATGTGCAATTCTTCTGGAAATTCCTAGTGCTTAAAATACTTGAGAGGCAACAAGCCTGAGGCAAGGAATATTCTGTAGGATAAGATCAGCTTCTGCTGCTCTTTATGTTGAAGCCATATTGGAATTTAAATAGGACAGCCTCATCCACTGCAGTTTTTTCAGAGAAGCCATTATTTTGTCTTAAAAAGTTGTGATGTTTTAATTGAAGTAGTTAAAAGACACCATTTACCCTACCTATGAATACATAGATTGCCTTAGGTAGTGGTAAAAAATGTAAACGTATTCATTTTCTTTCATTAGAGTGTCATGTAACTAAAAAACCAAACTCAGAATGACATGGGTATAGAGCCGTTGCTCTATTTTTCTTTCCTTCATTTCTGCTCTTTTCCTCTCTTTCTCCCTCGTCTCTTAGTGCAAACATTAAAAATGGAAATACCTTTCTGATCATACTGAGACAAAATCCCTACCTCTAAACTAGATTTTGGAAAATTTCTCAAAAGAACAGCAGTTTCTCTTCCTGGAGTTTCTTTTCCTCTTTTAAATCTTGCAAAGTCCTGTGTGAAATCAC